GTGTGAGATGCATGGCTTAGAGAAGAGACCGGGTGACAGAAGACTGATTGAAGTGGCCTCCAAATGCTCTGAGGCTCTCTCCAGATAGCCTCTGTTCCTGCAGGTGGTGGCTGCATAGAACAGAAGGCAAAAATCCCAGGCAGAATGTGAAATTCCTAAAAAGATGAGCAACTGGCCGGGAAATCTACACCCCCACACAGCTGGAGAAAGCTCTTTAGAGGAGTGCTCCTTACAAAGGCTAAGATGTACCCATGGCACTTAGGGCCCAGGAGTGAGGTTTACGGGTCTGGCCATGATTGAACTTCTAAGTAATTTTGAGAGTCTCTGCCAAGTTCTTCCATGCCAGGTAAACATGAGCCTAAGACTGACAGGAAGAAAGGTCTTTGAGGGTGGGACAGCCATTGGATCTGTGAGATCCAGGGCAAGACTCCCTAGGGAGACTTCAGCATTCACTGGTTTAAAAAGAAGAGGGGCTGCAGCCTTTTTGCAAGGGAGTGAAAGCCTGCACACAGACCACACAGACACGGTCCTGAGGAATTCTCTCTGGGTGGGAATTACCCCAAAGGCACAGACAAGTCCTCATCGAAAAGAAGTCTAAGTTTTCCCAATGTGAGTCAAGCCTCTTTTTTTTCTTTGTCTTTGTCTTTGTCTTTGTCTTTTTCTTTTTCTTTTTCTTTTTTCTTTCCTTTTTCTTTTTCTTTCTCTCTCTCTCTCTCTCTCTCTCTCTCTCTCTCTTTTTTCTTTTTCTTTTTTCTTTCCTTTTTCTTTCTTTCTCTCTCTCTCTCTCTCTCTCTCTCTCTCTCTCTCCCCCCCCAGGGTCCCTTAAAGGCTGCCTTGGCGCTGTCCATGGTACTGACAGTTAATGACTCCAAGTTGGCGGCAAGATGCTCAGTGTTTCTCTCCCCAACTCTGTTACTGTTCTATTTTTCTTCCCCTTGCTTCCTCCTTGCATGACTTTTGTTCATGGTTCACATGCTAGGCAAGCATTCTGCCACTGAGTTTGTTTGTTTTGAGACAAGACCTTGTTCTGTAGCCCAGGCTGCTTGCCTACACCTCCCAAATACTGTTGCTGGCTAGAGTCACTGCAATCATCTCCTTCCTTTTCTTTTTTCCTTTTCTTCTTCTCTTTTTTTGTTTGTGTGTATGTTTATGTGAGTGTGTTTGATTGACTTTTTTTTTAAAACAGAATCTTACACAGCCTACCTACCCTGGTCTCAAACTCCTGACTACCCCGCCTCACCTCCTGTATCACAACAGGCAAATTCTAACCCCTGCCACATTTGCAGGGGGGAATAAACAGGTTGTCACTATATAGAGCAGGCAGCAACCCTCCTTCCTCTGCCTCCCAAGTGCCATGAGCCACCAAGCCTGGCTTTATTCTTTCTTAAGAAACAGCATTTAGGGGGTGCTGGAGAGATGGCTCAGAGGTTAAGAGCACCCGCTGCTCTTCCAGAGGTCCTGAGTTCAATTCCCAGCAACCACAAGGTGGCTCATAACCATCCGTTATGAGATCTGGTGCCTTCTTCTGGTGTGCAGATATACATGGAGGCAGAATGCTGTATACATAATAAATAAAATCTTTAAAAAAAAAAGAAATAGCATTTAGGAGGCAGGTGGATCTCTGTGAGTTCGAGACCAGCCTGGTCTACAAGAGCTAGTCCCAGGACAGCCTCCAAAGCCACAGAGAGACCCTGTCTCAAAAAAGCCAAAAAAAGAAAGAGAGAAAAAAGAAATAGCATTTAGAACCTGGTGGTGTTGGTGCATGCCTTTGAGGCAGAGGCCAGAGGATCTCTGTGAGTTCAAGACCATCCTGGTCTACAAGAGCCAATTCCAGGAGATCTCTGTGAGTTCAAGACCATCCTGGTCTACAAGAGCCATTCCAGGACAGGCTCCAAAGCCACAAAGAAACCCTGTCTCAAAACAACCAAAAAAAAAAAAAAAAAAAAAAAAAACCCACTTATGCTTACAAAGCCAATATTTACTTAATTTTTTGTAATGCTGGGGATGAATCAAAGATTCATGTATGCTAGGCAAACACTGTCATAAGCCACATCTCCATCCCTTTATTATTTTTAAAATGTCTATTTTAATTTTAATTATGTGTACATACATGATGCATGCCTATGAGATAACACATATACAGAGAAGGTGACCAAAGATTTTAGAAGAGGGCTTCAGATCCCCTCGAACCAGAATTAATAGGTGGTTATGAGCTGTGTGACATGGGTGCTGGGAACCAAACTTAGGTCCATCGCAAGAACAGTATGGGCTATTAACTGCTTAGCCGTCTTTCCAGCCCCTTCTTGTATTTTTGAGACGAAGTCTTGCTATATATCCCTGACTGGCCTAGAGTTTCCCATGAAGACCAATCTGGTTTCAAACTCAGAGATCCACCTAACTCTGACTTCCCCAAGTACTGGTACTAAAGACGTGGGCCAGCATTCCCTGCTCTATAATTTTTTTTTCCTTCAAAAAGTCAATCATGGAGAGCTGGGTGTTGGTGGCACACACCTTTAATCCCAGCACTCGGGAGGCAGAGGCAGGGGGGTCTCTGTAAGGTTGAGGCCAGCCCGGGCTCCAGAGCGAATGCTAGGATAGGCTCCAAAGCTACACAGAGAAACCCTGTCTCGAAAAAACAAAAACAAAAAAACAAAAACAAAACAAAACAAAAAGTCAATTATGGGAGCCAGGTAGTGGTGGCACACACCTTTAATTCCAGTACTCAGGAGTCAGAGACAGGCCAATCTCTGTGAGTTCGAGGCCAGCCTGGTATACAGAGCTAGTTCCAGGACAGCCAGGACTACACAGAGAAACCCTGTCTTGAAAAACCAAAATCCAAAATTAAAACAAGAAAAAATGTAATCCCTGCACTTGGAAGGCAGAAACAGAAAGATTACCTTGAATTCAAAGCCTGCGTGAGCTACAGTATGAGACTGCTGTCTTCAGAAAGAGAAAGAAAGAAAGAAAGAAAGAAAGAAAGAAAGAAAGAAAGAAAGGAAGGAAGGAAGGAAGGAAGGAAGGAAGGAAGGAAGGAAGTGTTCCGTACTTAAGCTACCAAGTTTTGGAGCCATTTCTCACATAGCAACAGATCACTAGTAAGTCCCATGCAGACTTGAGGATGTACTGAGCCTCCTGCAAAGCTTGTGCTAGCCGGCTAGCTGTGTTTACACATTTGGAGCTTCACAGAGAGTGCCTGATGCTCTCAGAACCCCATCATTCCTCCTACTGCTTTGGGTCTGTTTGTGTTTTTAAGCAAACATAGGATCAAACTACAGTGACAATTCTAGTGCTAGATTCAGTTTTTCTGCTTAAGATGTTGAAAACATTGTCTCCTCTCAATCTCCAAAGCACTCGGTTTTTTGGTGTGTGTGTGTGTGTGTGTGTGTGTGTGTGTGTGTGTGTGTGTGTGTGTGTAGGGGTGTGTGCATGGATGATGTATGGGGTGGGGTGCACCACAGCACACTTGTAGAGTCCTAAGGACTACTTTGTGGAGTCATTTCTCTTCTACTTTTATGTAGAACTCAGCTCACCATCGCTAAATGGAAAGTAAGTGCCTTTGCCATCTGGCTGGCCCTCCAAAATATTCTTTCTTCTTAGAAGCTCTTTGGTAGTCACCAAATGAGCAGTACTCTAAGCGCACTTTCCTACTCCAGCACAAGACTGAGGGTTGCCCTCTGGGCCCTTTTTAGCAGCATGTGTCTGCCCTTCTGCTCAGGGTTTGCAATCAGAGTTTAGGAAGTAGCTGTGGTGGTTCTTGCCTGTAATCTTAGCATTTGGAATGCTGAAACACAAAGACTGATGCAAGTTCGAGGCTAGCCAGGGCTACGTAGTGAGTTCCTGGGCAAATCTGGACTACCTAGTGAGAATACCGATGCCTAACATGCCTGAGCAAATCCATCTCATCTCTACTTTGCTATCTTGTTTATTTCAGTGTGTGTGTGTGTGTGTGTGTGTGTGTGTGTGTGTTCAAGTGTGGAAGGCATAAGACAATCTCGGGTGTTGGTCCTCACCTTCCACCTTATTTAAGGCAGACTCTCTTGCTCTCTACCGCATATGCCGGACGAGCTGTACCCACAGGTTCTCTAGTCTTCATCATCCTGCAGCTAGAGTGACAGGATTACATGCTCCTGGGCTTGGCTTTACTAGGGTTCTGGAGATTTGAATTTGGGTCCTTGGGCTTGTACAAGTGCTTTAACCACTGAGTCATCTCCCTACCACCCATCTCAGCTCCAGGCCAGCTCCTTCACTACTGCTATTGGAAGTCAGTTGAATTAGGTACTCCATGAGGAATGCCTCTCTTGAGATTCCAGATGTCTCTTTTTTCCTTAAAAAAAAAAATATTACTGGGGGGTGAGGCACATGTATCATGGCTGCTGGATGTGTTTGAAGGACAACTCTGTGGAATCAATTCTCCTTCCCACCATTTGGGCTCCAGGGCTCCAACTCAGATGGCCAGGCTTGCATGGCAGGCAGTTTATACATTGCGCCATCGGTCAGGTCTACTCTGTATCTTTGTGAAAACCTTGTGGTTTCAACAGTTAGAGTGTATGGGTGGAGTCTCTGGTTAACACCAGTTGTTCTTCTTGCAGAGGCTACAGGTTCAGTTCTTAGCATCCACTTGATGGCTCCCAACCATTTGTAACTCTAGTTCCAGAGGATCTGATGACCTCTTCTCACCTCCACAGGCACCAAGTATGCATATGGTACACATACATACATTCAGGCAAAACGCTCATACTCATATTTTTGTTTTGTTTCTTGAGACAGGGTCTCTCCACACAGCCCTGGCTGTCCTGGAACTGACTATGTAGACCAGGCTGACCTGGAATCCACAGACTTCCACCTTCCTCTGTCTCCTCGTGCTAGGATTAAAGGAGTGTACTACTACACCTAGTGTACACACACACACACACACACACACACACACACACACACTTATATATAATATATATGTTTATATAATACATATAATCAATAGAGTATAACCAGTTCTCAACAACTTGGAAAAACAAGAGGCCTGGGAAACACTTTATTTAGCGTCACATGTGCTGAGATGTGTGCTCTACCCAGGAATGAGTTCACTTCTGACACACCATCTCACTCAGTTCCATCTGTGAAAATATGGTGAAGAGCTCAAGGCACTTTGGGGTGTTGAGTATGAATGACTGCCCTGCAGAGCTCCCATCCACTTTCCTAGCAGTCATGGCCCCAATCCCAAGAGTCATGAAGGAACCACTTTAGGGGAGCCTGAGGATAATGGGATCTGGTACCATGCAGGGCTGGGAGAGCCACCAAGAAAAACACAGGCAATATTATAGCCAGGTTCAAGGTCTTGCACACACACACCCCCATTATCCTTTTTGGTAGTCTCTGGTGAGAGAGAGGATGGCTTTGCTTGGTCCACAATGGTAGGCACTCAGTTACTCGAGCAGAAATGGAGGAGCTACTTGGGTGCTGAGGCTGCTTCAAGAACCTAGGGAAGGCAGACCAACTGTAGATACAGCCTAGAAGTGGACTTTTGCAGAAGAGAGCAGCGGGAAGGCCGTGAGGAGGTGTGGGCTAGGGTCCACAGACAGCTTCTGCCAATCTGCCAAGGAGCCAGAAAGTGCAGGCAAGTGCTCTATATTCTGTGGACTCTCTGGTCCCAGAGCAGTTGGAGGGATGGAGGAGGATGTCAGCCTCCTGCTGGTGGGATGCTCCAGTCTGAGGGGCTGTGGAGGGACCAGCTGGTCTGGGGTGCTGGGCATGAGGTCATCCAACTTAGAGAAAGACCCTGGCAGGCTGGAACCAGGGGATGATGCAGACAGTACAGGGCTGGGGGACAGCTGGGCTAGAGGGGCCCTCGCCATGAGAGGGTCAAAGGACAGTGAGGGCAGTGGGGAAGGGAGGAGGCCAAGAGACTCATGTACACATGGACCTGGAGAGAGTTGATGGGCTGGGGGAGAGGAGCCAGGAGTCTGGAGCAGGCCCAGCTGTTCCTGAGAGCTAGGGTATCCATGGGATTCAGGTTGTCCTGAGAGTTGCTCTGCCTGGACTGGGCATCTAGAAGGCAGCAGAGCAGAACAGGAGCCACAGTCCACTCGGCACAGGCGTTCGTGCAGATGCAGTGTCCGGCCCCACCTTGCCAGCTCAGCCTGCAAGACCTGGATCTCCTTCCGAAGGGCATGGTTGTGTTTCTCCAAGGACTCGTGCTGCTGGGGGAGAAGCAGGTAGCAGGAAGGGATGTCAGCATCAGGATCCTGTGCAGGGCACTCACTGCTATAGGGTATGAATATCCAGATAGAACCTCTTGGGTACTCATCATGTACCTCTCTGGCAGACTCATGTTCCCCTACCCCACATCTCCAGTGCTAGAACTTCCCTCTCTGCCCACTATGAGTCATCTGACAAGCAGCACTTCTCACCCAGGATCTCCACCTGGCCTCTAGCTGCCCCCACTCTTGTCACTTCATTGGCCCATTCAGCGGCTGTGTCTTGTTTGATGGATTTGAACCATATCTTTGTTTGGTTAGGGAAGAGACACTGTAAACAAATGAGGGGGTGACAGAAAAACATTGGGTATCTTCTATTGGTCTCTGCCTTATATTCCCTTAAGTCTGACTCTCAGTAAACTCGGGGCTGGACATTTTGGTCAGCAGGCTCCTGCTGGGATGTGCCTGTTTCTGCCTCTAATGCTGCAGTTACAGGCCATACCCGGCATTTCTAAGATGCTGATAGAAACTTGAACTCGGGTCCTCATGCTTGCACAGCAATTGCTCTTACCTACTAAGGCATCTTTTCCTTTATAGCCCAGGCTAGCCTTGAACTACAGCCCTCCTTGATTCAGCCTCCCAAATGCTGGGACTACAGGCATGTACCATCATGCCCTCCTGTGGTATTAATTGTAGATTGAAGCCATTAAAGGTTTCCAAGACTCCAGGATCTGAATGTACTGCTGTGAGTCTCAAGACTTCTATCTCTCCCTCTCCCCCCTCCCTTTCTCTCTCTCTCATTTGTTTGTTTTTTGAGACATAATTTCACTGTGTTGTGTAGCCCTGGCTGTCCTGGAACTCACTCTGTAGACCAGCTGGCTTTGAACTGACAAAGATCGGCCTGTCTCTACCTTCCAAAGGCTAGGATTAAAGGTTTGAGCCACCAACGCCCAGCTCAAGGCTTTTCTTAATTCCTGTCCTTTCCCTAGAATCTGCTTCTTTCACACAATGGCTGTCTGCTCTGGACACTTTGAACCCTGCCCTCATGATATTCTCTCTCTCTCTCTCTCTCTCTCTCTCTCTCTCTCTAAAAGATTTATTTATTTATTTATCTATTTATTTATTTATTATGTATACAGTGTTCTGCCTGTATGCCAGAAGGGGGCGCCAGATCTCATTATAGATGGTTGTGAGCCACCATGTGGTTGGTGGGAATTGAACTCAGGACCTCTGGAAGAACAGCCAGTGCTCTTAACCTCTGAGCCATCTCTCCAGCCCCAGGATACTCTTAATATGGTCTTATCAGGCAATTTCAATGTCATTCTTTCCTGGATTCATTGAGTCTGCTAAAGACCAGGTCTTAGCCTCCAGATCCCAGAAGGCACCAACAAGACACTATAGGGGTTCAGGGCTGCATTGGTTGGCAGGTACCCCTGAGTCAGCATTTTCTAAGCCCAGTAGGTTCAGGACAATCAACAACATGCAGTTTTGTTTTGTTTTTGAGAGTTTCCTATAGCCCAGGCTGGCCTAGAGCTCTGTGTGTAGGCATGCCAGTGCTGGCCTTGAGCTCCTGATCCTCCAGACTCTAGCTCCCAAACCTTAGAATTACGGGCACAAGCCACCAAGCCCAACTCCACCGTTCTCTTTGTAAGACTGTCAATCCTCCTGGATTAGAGCTGCATCTGGGCATGTGCACCTTATAAGCATTGTGCTTTTATTTATTTTTAATATTTTAGGGAGAGGCATGTGCTATGATTCATGTGTGGAGATCAGAAGGCAACTAGTGGAACCAAGTGCTGTCCTCCCACCACCCAACTCCGGGAAACATATTTTTTTACCCACTGAGACATCTTGCCTCACTCCAGTCCAGACTTGCATGTCTGAATGGCATTTATGGAGACAATAATGGTGAAGATGCAGAGAGAATTTTATTTCCACATCTTGTAAGTCTGAATAACTCAAACAACTTTCTCAGTCCCCTTTGTGGGACACTGTGAAAGGAGAATGTTTGAAGGGCATTCTGCATGAAGTGTGGTGTGTTAGGCCAAGGACTTGGCTCTGAAAGGCCTCAGAGCCACCAGCAGCCCCATTTTCACAATGGCTTCTGCAGATGAAAAGGACATTTCCTTTTTCTTTATAGAAATTTAAAATGTATTTTACTTATGTATGTGTTTAGTGAGTTGTGTAATTGTGGGCACATCCACACCACAGTGCAAGTGTGGGGTCAGAGGACAACTTTCAGGTGTCAGTTCTCTTCTTCCACTGTGTGGGTCCGGAGACTGCACTCATGTCCTTGGGGTGTCCTAACCTGCTGAGCCCTCTTTACAGCCCCAGAATGGATACTTCTACCTGGGGACATAGCTCAATTGGTAGAGTGCCCACCTAGCATAAAAGAAGTCCTGAGATTAATCACTCGCACCACATAAACTGGGCATGGTGCCACACGCCTGTAATTCTAGCACCAGAGAGGCAGAGGCAGGTCAGTGGTTAAGATAGTGAACTGGTTTTCCAGAAGATCCAAGTTCAGCTCCCCATACCCATGTCAGGGGGCTCACAACCACCTGTAACTCCAGTTCCAGGGGGATCTGACATCTCTGGCTCCTGTGGGCACTGCACCTATAAGCCCATAGACACACACACATATATAATAAAAATAAGCCAAGTGTGGTAGTGCATGTCTTTAATACCAGCACACAGGAGGCAGAGGTAGGCGGACCTCTGTGAGTTCTAGGCCAGCCTGGTCTACATAGTGAATTTCAGGACAGCCAGGGCTATACAGAGAAACCCTGTCTCTAAGTAAATAAATTAAAATGATATGAAATAAAAAGTCAGTTAGCCGGGCGGTGGTGGCGCACGCCTTTAATCCCAGCACTAGGGAGGCAGAGACAGGAGGATCTCTGTGAGTTCGAGACCAGCCTAGACTACAAGAGCTAGTTCCAGGACAGCCTCCAAAGCCACAGAGAAACCCTGTCTCAAAAAACAAAAAACAAAAAACAAAAAACAAAAAACAAAAAAAAAAGTATGCCAGTCTAGTGAGGTGGTGCAGCAGGTACAGGCACTTTGCCACACAAGCCTGATGACCTAAGCTTGACCCCGGGGACCCATACAAACATAGAAGGAGAAAACTGACTTTACAAAGTTGCCTTGTAGCCCCCACGTGCACACATATGCACCCCCAGACTTACATTAACAATCAATGAAAATCTAATAAATAAAAGCAGAGGCTGGAGATGCAGCTCGGTTATAGAGTGCATTTGTCCAGCACCGTGACCTTGATCTGGAGTTGTGCCTCCCAGCATCCAGATATCCAGATGGATGCTGAACTGTGTGTGGCTTAAGCCAGTCTGTGGTGCTTGGTATGGTGGCCCGAGTGAGTGAATGTGTCCTCCCCCACAGAGCTCTTTATCCTGATCTGCCATTTGCTCTGCAGTAAACTGTGGAGCCCCCCCCCTTTTTCCTGCCAGGCCCTGTTATAGGTGATTGCAAGCAGAATGGATTGAGATGGTTCCCTGCCTTCATGGCACCTGGAGTCTCAGGAGAGAAGCAATGTGGAGGATACAAGAAAAGGCTACTATGAAGGATGACTAATCTACTCACAGGTTAATGGATTCAAGGCAACAGTGTGGATAAAGCAGGAATGAAGGCCACTGTGAAGGGTGGACTGGTCCACTCATGGGATAATGGGCTATGTTTCTAGTATACTCCTCCCTCACCATGTCATGTTCTCTCTCTCCCGTGACTCCCCCCCAAGAGATCCTCACTAGGTGCTGGGCAGATGCTGGATCATGCTCTGAACTTTCCAGGCCCCAGAACCATGAGCTACATGAAACTATTCTGGGTTTAGAGAGATGGCTCATTGGTTGAGAGCACTGGCTGCTCTTCCAGAGGGATCAGGCTCCATTCCCAGCATCTACAAGGGGGTTCATAACCATCTGTAACTCTAGTCCCAGGGGATCTGCTCCCTTCTTCTGCCCTCCAGAACATGGCACACATGTTCTGCACAGACATATATACAGACAAAATACCCATTCCCATACATATAAAATAAAACAAACTTTCAGTTAGGTAGTGGTGACACACACCTTTAATCCCAACACTTGGGAGCCAGAGGCAGGCAGATCTCTGTGAATTTGAGGCCAGCCTGGTCTGCAGAGCAAGTTTCAGGGCTACACAGAGAAACCCTGTCTCAAACAAAACAAAAACAACAACCACCACAAACAAATAAGATAAACTTTTTTTAAAAAGAGAGCTCTTTTCTCTGTAAGTCACTCAGTCTTTTGAACCAAAAGAGGGCATCCCTACCCTACCTGGTGCAGGGCATCTGCCTTGTTGGTGTGCTTCTGCCGGCTGCGCTGGGCAGCCAGTCGGTTCTTCTGCTTCTTCTTCAGCTGCTTCTGACATTCCTCAGGGTCCTATGAGGCATGAAGCAGAGGGTTGTGGGGTCCTGGCAGTGGTTTGCCCCCTCTGACATGATCAGCCATTTGGAAAGCTGTCTTTCTCAAGTCCAGTCCTTACAATCCCTGTTCTCCCAAAATGTTTCCTCCCTTGGTACCACAGCCCCCCTGAAGACACTGTACTCCTTACTGTAAATCCAACCCAATCCAGTGTCCAACTCACAGCTTTATATAAATTGGGAGGCTGAGATTCAAACTCAGAACATAGCTAGCAACCTCAAACACACATGCTCAAAAGCCAGCAATTGACTTTTCTGAGTACAATAATCTCAACAGTAAAACAGAGGCCCATGGTGCTTCCCCAACCGTCCACAGAGAGTGAACACACCAGAGGGTTGATCTTCCTAGCCCAGAGCTCCACAAAAATGGGGTCAGAACCTGATACAGTTCCATGTCCTCATGCCCACCTCAGTCCTAAAGTGCTGGTATTAACATACTCAAAGAACATTTATTTTTTAGTGTGTGTGGACCTGGTGTACATGTGTATAGAGCCCAGAAAGACAAAATAGCCCAGGCTGGCCTGGAACTCACTATGTGGCGCAGAGGCTGGCCTTGAGCCTTCTAAACCTCCTGCCTCCAAGTACAAAGTGCTAGGATTACAGGCATGTGCTAACACTTATAGAATATGCCTGTTTTCATATATATATATATATATATATATATATATATATATATATATATTTTATGCTCATAAAAACACTATTTTTTTATAATTTTTAAACTCATGTATAATCATGTGTATATGTGTGTGTGGTGACATATATGTGCCTGTGATTATAGGCACCTTGGAGGCCAGAAGAGGCTGTTAAATCCCCCGAAGCTGGAGTTACAGATGGTTTGTTTGTGAGCTGTCCCATGTAGGTTCCGGGAACCAACAAACTCAGGTCCTCTCTAAGAGTAGTAGTAGGTGCTCCCTAACTGATGAGCCATCTCTCCAGCACCCATCTTATCTTTTGAGGCAGAGTCTCTCACTGACCTGGGGCTCACCACTAATGCTAGACTGCCTGGTCATCACACAGAGATCTGCCTGTGTCTCCTTCCCCAGTGCTTGACACCCCACCAGACTTTTTAATGGATCAAACACTGGTCTTCAGACTTACAAGGAAAGTGCTTCATTGACTAAGCCATCCCCACATCATTTCAACTGATATTTTTTAAGTACCTACTATGTACCAGGCACTAAGCTAGGAGGACACAGAAGTGGGAGGAAAACAACAACAACAACAAAAACCAGGCAAAATGGCCAAACATGGTAGTGCCTACCTATAATCCCAACAGAAGGATTAGGTCAAGGCCAGGCTTGGCTACATAGTGAGGCCAGAATGAGATCTTTTCTGAAACAAACAATAAAGTAGGAATGTAACTTAGTGGGGAGTATTTGCTTAGCTTAAAAGGGGCTGGAGAGATGGCTCAGTGGCTAAGAGCATTCTTCCAGAGGACCACGGTTCAGTTCCCAGTACCCATATGGTAGCTCACAACTGTCTGTAACTCCAAGATCTGACACTCTCACACAGACATACATCAAGCAAAACCCAGTGCACATAAACTAAAAATAAATAATGTTCACACTGAAAAGGGGTGGCTGCCTAGAACCAATGAATGGAGAGTCTGTCTGACAGAAAAGGGGACTTTCAGCTGATAGTGCTGAAACTTCCAACCATAGGAACCATGAAAATTAAAGGGAACCTGAGGCCAAATACCCAGAGCTGGACCCTGCCTCTGTCACCCTACCTCAGGTAAGACCCCAGCCACCCTGGCTGAGGACTCTTCAGGTTTGTGGATTCCCAGTGGCTGTATCTCCCTCAGGGCAAATTCAACCCCAGAGTACTAAGGCTGGGGAAAGAGTCAGAGAGAAAAGAAGAAAGCTGCATTTTGAGAGACTGCGGAGAGAAGGCAAGGATCTGGAAAATGCAGCAGCAAGGTGAGAGCAGCTGGAACAGGAGAGAGCAGGTCTGCAGGATCCATGTTCAAAGCTGGAGGCTGGTCTGCAGTGTGAGAGCTGGGTAGGCTTCATTCCCATCCCCAGAAGGAACTAAACCCAGAGATGGCAGTGTGGAGCCCAGTCCCAGGTCACACAGACATGGTGTGGAGCTGGGACTGGAGCTCCTTACTGCATCCTCCCTCGTCTGGGCCCTGGGACCCTTGGCCAATTTCTCCGCTTCCTTCCTAGTCCCCTGTACTCACTGTCCCAGTCAGCAGCGCACCACTCCCACAGAGCTGCATGGCTTAGGCAGGGGGAGCAGAGGTTCAATCCGGTCCTGTGTGTCCCCTCAGCAGCTTTGCCCTCCCAGTGCCCTCTGGAGGCTCAAGGAAGTGGTGGCTCTTTAAATCCCCAGTGACCACTCCCGCCCCCAGCACACCCAGTTTCAGTTTCTCCTAAAGCCATCGGCTGCCCAGAATCCTTGGCTCTTGCTTGCTCACGTGGCTGGAACTTCCTTACATGAGCTGCCTTCCGGAGGCCCCTTCTCTGGAAGAAGGCTGGTGGAGGGCAGACAGGAGGAACAACAAGACAGTATTCTGGGAGAGCTGACAGGCTGCCAGGGATAGAACCTGGAGGAGAAGGGTGTGTGTGTGTGTGTGTGTGTGTGTGTGTGTGTGTGTGTGTGTAAGAGGCCCTGTAATCACTTGGGGAGCCCAGGTTCACAGTCCACACTGGAGTATGCAGCTTTGAGAAGGTGACTCATCTTCTCTTCTCTGAACTTTAGTTTCTTCATCTATAAAGGACATGGTAGGATGGAACAAATTCCCAGACTTGGGGCTGGGTGTGGTTGGTTTGGTGCTTGTACTACAGAAGCAGAGGCAGGAGGATCACCCAGGAGTTTGAGGCTAACCTGCGGACATAGTAAAAGTTCCCAAGCTTGACAAAAGAACCTAGACAATGTAACCACTCCAAACTCTCTGTGACCAATGCAGCAGGCATGACTGCAAAAATAAACAGTCAGGGCTGGCATGGTGGTTCACACCTTCAAATTCCAGTGCTCAGAAGTGGGGCCAGGAGGGTGTCTCTGAGTTAGAGGCTCCAAGGCCTAGGGCAGTCAGTGCTAAACAATTAAGACCCTGTCTCGATAATGATGATGATGGCCAGGTAGTTGAGTCATACGCCTTTAATCCTAGGACTTGGGAGGCAGAGGCAGGCAAATCTCTGGGTTTCGGACCAGCCTGATCTACAGAGTGAGTTCCAAGACATCCAGGATACACAGAGAAACTGTCTCAGAAAAAAAAAAAAAGATGATGAAGAAATTTTAAATTTTATGTTTATGTGTATGAATGTTTTGTCTTTGTGTATGTCTGTTCACAATATGTGTGCCCAGTGAACTCAGAGGTCATAAGAGGGCATTGGTTCCCCTGGATCTGGAGTTTCAGATAGTTGTGAGCAGCCAAGTAGGTGTTGGGAATTGGGTCTGGGTCCTCTGGAAAAACAGCCAGTGCTTTTAACAACTGAGCCATCTCTAGCCCCCAAAATAAAAAATTTAAAAGAATCCAACTAGCCTGGTCTACAAGAGCTAGTTCCAAGACAGCCACAGAAAAACCCTGTCTCGAACCCCCCCAGCCCCACCCAAAAAAGAATCCTTATGTCCAAGTTTTGTTTTGTTTTGTTTTTAAGGTGCTACTGGTAGATGCCTATAATACCAGCATTTGGGAAATGGAGATAAAAGAATAAGAAGTTCAAGCCCATTTATAGCTACACGAAGAATTGGAGGCTAGCCTGGGCTATAAGAGGCAGTGTCTCTTAATAAATAACAATAAAAGAGCACTGCAATTGATTAGCAATGTCTTCCATGCCATGATAGATTAGTGCTGTCTATAATGACCAGAGCTATAGAGCACAAGAATCCTTTGCCCTCTCTAGAACTGGTCCTGAAGCCAGCCTGGGCTTTATGGTTGGAAGAATTGACTGAGCGCTGGTGCTCTGTCCACCAGCTCTCTGACCCGGAGCTTCAGTGTGCTCATCCCTTTTCTGGAGATGATAAAAGCAGTCCTAGCTTAGAGCTGTTTTAAGGGAAAGAATGGGATGTGGAGAAAGCCCTTCCCCTATCATAAAGTATTGACAGGCTAGATGTGTCCCCTCTTCTGAGACTGTAATGAATCTGGATTCTAGGCTCATTGAAGTACGCTCATCTGTCTGTGTAGGTGAAATTAGATATGACAGCTGGACCCTGCCACCTTGCTTCTGAGAGCCTTGGGCAGAGGCTGAAATGGGGTAACCCCTTACAATGAGGCTGTCCATTTCTTGGGATTATTTTTGTTTTCCAGACATCAGACTAGGGCCTCTGGCTTGAGGCATGCACCTGAGGGGCTCATTAAACCATACTGTGAACTCCACTGGGAAACTATCAGGAGGAGGGTTGGGTATGATGTCACTCCAGAAAACACCTTTTGGGGAGGCTAGGGCCTAGTGTCCCTACTTCAGCCTGTAGTGCTAACTAGAGCTAGATTCCCTGACCTCCTAGACCAGTGGCTTCCAGTAGAGGGTAGATAGATAGTCTGCAGGACTGTGTCCTCCAGGGAGACCATGCCCAGGGAGGAAGAGGAAACGGAGGTAGGTGCCTATGGGGTGATCTCCAGGAGAAGGAGTGGCAGGCAGGGAGAGGTATGAGGTAATATTTAAACTTTTTTTTTTTTTTTTTGGTTTTTCAAGCGTTTCTCTGTATGGTTTGGAGGTTGTCCTGGAACTCTCTCTATAGACCAGGCTGGCCTCAAACTCACAGATTCCACCTGTCTCTGCCTCCCGAGTGCTAGGATTCAAGGCGTGTGCCACCAATGCCCGGCTAGAATATTTAACTTTAAATGGTTCTTCAAGGCTTCCCTGAGAGGTGGACGAACTCCCAGGCCAGTGGAGCCACTCGGACCCCTCACTCAGAATTCACCTTATACCAACACAATACTGTAGCCTAGGTACCTTAAACATTTATCTACCATGGATTTGGAGGCTTTTAGAAAAAGCCCAAAAATGCCAGCAGATCCAGCTCCTGCAGAGGGTTACAAGGGTCTCATTTTATAGCCCAGGATAACTTTAAATTTACAGAGAAACTTTCATCTTAGCCTCAAGGGCACTGGGATTACAGGTATTGTGGCTCCAAGTTCTGTAGTCTTATGGTGGTGCTTTTTTTAAGGCTAGGGTCTCACTAGGTAGCCCCGGCTTGTTTTGAACTCTACATAGACCAACTTGGCTTCAAACTTCCGCCTCTGCCTAGTGCCTAGTAAGGTCCATACTTGGTAGCGGCTGCTTTTCCTCCTCCTCCTCCTCCTCTTCCTCCTCCTCCTCCTCCTCCTCCTCTTTTTGAGCCAGGATCTTATATGTAGTAAAGGCAAGCCTCCTGGGATTGGAATAGTAACAATTCTTCTGCCTCAGCCTCCTAGTGGTGCAACTACAGGTTTGTGACACCAAACCTAACTGAAGGGCTGGTATTTAAAACATGAGTTTGGCAGAAACATAGACATCCAGAACATTCCTGAAGGGGAGGAACATAATACCCAAAGGGTTATGGTCACCTATGGGGGGGGCATAGCTGGAAGGAGAACAGAATCTCTCTTCCAAGTCTTGGGGGCCTATGAATCCAGCAGTCCTGGCAGATGGAAGCTGGAGGGGCTCCTGATACCTGAGGTCCAAAACGAGTGGCTATCGTGCTCTCTGATGTGGCCCCTGTGCCTCAAACACTGCTTTCACCACCAAAAAAAAAAAAAAAAAAAAAAAAAAAAAAAAAAAAAGCCCAGGGAGCAAATAAATGAATTAAAGCATTAAAGCCCAGGCAGCTTGACTCTGTACTCCCAAGGATCCCCAACATTTTTCCTGAGAAAAGAAACTTCTGGAAGATTCACTCCGATAGGATCTACCTAGATACCTGGTGGACTCTATTAGCCAAGTTCCTCAATTTGCCTGTGTGGAAACTGAGGCGCAGGGAATGATCATTTGGTAGAATCCAGGATGTGTTGATGCTTGGTCCCAATGCCTGACCACACCTCCTTATGTTGCGATAGATGCTCAGGCCTCCAGCTGTGCAGGGATGAGGCTCTCTTGGTTTAATTCTTCCTATTAAGCATATCCCTTGTTTTAGGCCTGGCCTCCTCAGCCCTTAAAGTGAACGGAAGAAAAAGAGGCTGAGGATGAGCTGACTTCTCATGTGGAATGGAGGGTCTGCTGAAGGCTAAACCGTAGCTGCTCACAGTCTGAAACTCAAAAGTGACCTCTATTGGGGAGGTCACTTCCTGCTGGGGTGGCCAGGAAAGGCAACAGCTCTTTGGGGAGTACATTAGAGAACAAGTAGGTTCTGTGCCAGGTCTGGAATCTGTCCTACCAGTCACTGGATTAACTTCTGTGACTCCTATGTACAATGGGTTAATATGGGGCTGGAGAGACGGCTCAGCAGTTAAGGGCACTGGCTGTTCTCCAGAGGACCTGGATTCTGTTGGGAGATTTTTTTTCATCTAGTCTCAGTCCCACTAAAATGCCTTGACTTCAAAATTTAAGTCAAAAGATAATGTTGGAGAGGAGGTTTTGCTTTTGCTTCCACAAGAAATGAGAAGCTGTGGCTTCATTCTGGGTTAAGAAAAAGAAGGTTTGCTCTAGGAAGATCCCCTGAAAAATCTCCAAAGCGAACAGATGGCCCAGATGATCCATTTCAGAGCATCTCTGTTGTGGTTTCTTCTGAATTCTGCATCCAGAATAGGTTCAAGACTGCTGGCTGACATGATCCAGCCTCATAGAATACTCCAGTCAGGACTTCACCATAATCCTAAATTTTCTTTGGGTCCCCATAAGATTACCAGCACCCCCAATCAGCAGGAAGTAGCCTAGAAAACTGTGCCCACATTCCCAAAAGTGGATTACGGATATATGCATTTGTTTAGTGTGTCGGTTACAAGTTGTTATGGATAATGGTCAAGAAAAAAGCTAAACAAAGGAGATTAGGTTCAGTATTCTTATTCTGAAAAGAAAAGAAAAAAAAAAGAGGGAACTGACATGGGATAATGCTCTTGTACACTGTAAAGATTTGTCATTTGTATTGGTTTAATAAAATGCTGATTGGCCAGTAGCTAGGCAGGAAGTATATACCACACCAGGAGAATGCTGGGAAGAGGAAGGCAGACAGAGTAGTCAGCCAGATGAAAGATGAGAATGCCTCACTGAGAAAAGGTACCAAGCCACGTGGCTAAACACAGATAAGAATTATGGGTTAATTTAAGTTGTAAGAGTTTGTTAGTACTAAGCCTGACCAGTAGGCCAAACAAATTAGTTTATAATTAATCTAAGCCTCTGCATGTTTATTTGGGACTGAATAGCTTCAGGACTGGGTGGGACAGAAACTTTTGTCAACAGGGTTCAATTCCCAGCAACCACATGGCAGATAACAACTGTCTGTAACTCCGGG